TAGCTCACTTGTTGCCTTAAAAAGCAAAAAGTAAATTAAAACGAAGCATTGGATAGGATTCATAACAGAGCATCAGCTGTCCCACCTCAGTTCCCTAATCTCTTTGAGAACATCAGAATTTTGGTCCTTGAGTGAAAACAAAAGGTGGCATTTCACACTGCTGGAGAGGCTCCTTCAGTCCCTCCACAGGCTGTGCTTTGTGATGTTGCTGACAGTCTGGTGCGTGAGAAAATGGAGGTGACCAGACAGTCACTGGGGCAAGCCAACAAAGGTTTGCTTTATCAGTGCTCAAAAATCACTGAGTAGGATTCCTGATGTGTGGGTGTGGATGACTGCTGGTAGAAGACTGGGATAAGTGTAGTTCTCCTAGAGGACTACAGACCATTTCAGTGTGCAGGGCATCTCTGTTGAAGGGAAATAAAATCAAACACAGTAGCATTTGTGGTCATATGGCTTCAGGTCACAGGGCTTTGGAGGAAAGGATGCCTGGTCTGAGATGAGCCCAAAGATACTTGCAGAGTTTGAACTGACTTCTGACGCCTTTAAATGCAGAAAATCCCAGTGGGCAGGTGCAGTGATGGTGAATGCTCAGTAATGAGCAGCTGTAAAACTTCTGGCATGGCTGGCCTTACTACAGCAGTGTTGTGCAAAAATCTGTCTCTTGACTTGTTTAGTTGGCTTGGTGTCTGTCCTGGGAGAGAAACAAAGTGATGGGAGGAAACAGGGGACACAGACAAAGCTCCTTGTTGTTCTGTTGGAAGGGTGTCAGAGGCTCCCTTGTGGTGAATGTGTTGGAAACCCACCATGTATCCCTTCTGCTTGATGCCTGAGCTCTTGTTGAAACTGAAGTGCTGACATGGGATGTACTGATGGGACCAAGCCCCTTGAGTTCCTTACCTCTGCTGAGTGAGTTTCTGGAGGCTTCACAGTCAGGTCTCCCAAACTATTTCTCTAGGCTAGAGAATAGGGACTGTGAAGAAGATCGGGTTGTTTGTTGTAGCTGGATCTCTGGGTAACACCTATAGCCTTGATGCTCAGACCTACTTTAGGTCCTAGCCCCATGACAGCTTCTGCCAAGCATCTTGGTCCTTGTTTCTGCAGGCAGGGCCTCCATGCTGCCACCCAGCATGTGCAGGCAGGGGAGGTGGTGTGCCCTCTACCCTCACCCACGCCTCCACCCCCTCTCTGCGAGACAAAGGTAGGATGTTGGTCTCCATCGGGGCTGGGTGCTTGCTCTCCCTGCTTCCTGCACAAGGCTGGCAGATGGCTCCTGTTTGCTGGAGCTGTGTAGCTCTGGCTACTGGGCTGGGAGCAGCTGCTGCTGCCAGGCGGAAGCACTCGGTGAGGCTTTCCTAGACAGCTTTGAACGGGAGCCAGGAGCCCTCTCGCTACAGGAGAAAATCCACGAGGTCAGGAAATGCAGCAGCAGCTCCGGCTCCACGCTGGGGCTGTTGGCTTGGCACGCGGATCTCAGCCCTCCTCTTTCCAGACGGTGCTCCTGGAACTGCTCTCCTCCTTGCTGTCTCTCTCAACTGTTGCTTGACAGCCCTGTGTGTGGCTTTTGGAGGGTGTAGTAGTAGAGTGCTGCAGAGGTGGTAAATTTGGATAGAGAAACACTAGATGGTGACCTGGATCAGACTTTCAGATCTCAAAGAGCTTGAAGAAGATGGAAGAAGCATTGCTCCTGCTCTGTGTGGGACTGGGAGGCTGTGCTTTTGTGTTTCCCTCTGTTATTTTGTGGTCAGCTGTGTGTGGGTTCCATGTTGGCTGCTGAGCAATAGAAACTGGAAATCCTCGCATCAGGAGAAGCTTTCACAACCACCAACAGGCTGTAAAACTCCATCCGGTGTGTCACCAGCATGAAAACTGGGGTGTTTGTTACCATCTCTCTGATGAGAGCCCCACTCTTTCTTCCCTGTGTCTATTTTATAGAAAGCCAGAAACACTGCTTTTGGGATGGTTGTTCCTTGAACCAGCCCCTATGGTGGTGGTGGTGGTGGTGGTGATGTTCCTGTGGTGCTGAGGAACAGCCACCCCTGTGTTGAAACTATGGGTGCATCGAAGAGCAGCCTTGCTCTTCCCATGCTCAGGAGCAAGAAGTGTGATGGGGGAATTACAAGATGGTGTTGGTAAGCCTAAGGACAGGACCAGTTGCACAACTCTGTGGCAAAGTTTGGCCATATGGAAATCTCTGCTTCCCCTGCAGCCTTTGGCCAGGCTGCTTCTTCTGTGGGACATGCCCATGCTTTGGTGTGCAGTTGGGTCTGCATGCTGCCTGTGTGAGGAGCTTGGACTGGGGAAAGGAAACAAGCTCCCCTGAGCATTGATTTTAGCCCACATTGATTCAGGTAGCTCTCATGCTCAGAGCTGGCCATCATTCCCCACGCTCTTGCTCTGCATTAGGACATTTTGCAGCAATGGTATGGAGTGGGTAGGTTGGACCTGCCCTCCTTTGCAAGCTGCAGAATCTGTCCTGCCACTGCAGGGGTGAGGATGGCAGAGTAGTGGAGAGTTAGGTGATGTGACAGCACCTTGGAGGGATGGTGTCAGTGAATAAATACCAACATTTCAGAGGTCTTGTATGTAAATTGTCCATGTGTGGGCCACAAGCAGGGACTAGCAATAGCTCCTTTGCCCTCCTCATTTTCCCTGCTTCTCGGGTGTGTGAGGGGCAAGAAGATGTGGATTTGTATTTCTGTGGAGGACCCAGATCTTAGAACTCTGTGCTAAGGTGGTGATAGGCAGGGCTTGCTGTTGTGTGGCTGCCCCTCTGCTGTGCAATGGAACTCAGCTGGGGTCTGGAGCAGGAAGACATTTAAGCTGATGTGGGTGACCACCTTGTCCCCTACCTCCTGCTGCAGTGTGTACCATAAAGCTGCTATGGCTGTGTGGGCTGGGGGGGTCTTCCAAAGGAGTAGGCAGTGCTTTCCACTGGGTGGTCTTGAGGGAGAACCCTCTCCTAGAGAACTTATGTCTTCTTCTCCCTGTATTTAGTCAAAGCTGTCATTGCCTTAGCAAGTCCTACAGGCCTGGGCAGTTGTGCTGTTTTCCTTGAGCATCTTTGTGGCAATTGCTTCATCATCAGTGTCAGATGCAGAGCAAAGTCCTTGTGTTTTGCTGGGGATTGCAGATCTCCCTGCTCTGTAATAAAAGGCGGGAGCTGGTCACAGCTCTTCTTCAGACCCCCCAGGACCCCTCTGTGTTCAGCTGTGAAGCTGTTTGCTGAAGGAGCGATCCCCCCCAGACAGCTGTGCTGGTGGAGATGGTCAGTCAACATTTGCTCCTCAGTCCCCTTTTCATTGTGTCTCTTCCCAGAGAAATCAGAAGCCTGGGGTGAGGATCTCTCTTGTCCCTGAGAAGTAGTGCATGTGAGAACATCATAGACGTGAGGGCATGCAGAGTAACGTGTGTGCAGAGTCAATTAGTGAGATCACTTGGATTCTCTCCTGAAGCCTTGCTTTCAATCTGCAGCTCCTTCCTGGCTGCCAGAACAGAGGCACATTGGACTTTGAGGGGAAGCAGTGTCACTTTCAAGTAGGCACCTAGGGTATGGCATTATTTGCACCTACTATACCCCTGCCATTGACCACTTTTCCATTGTGTTTAACTGCTTCTCCAGCATAGCAAACCAGAGGTCCTGCTTGGCATCATATTTATTACCTGGTTGCTCTTTTGCTCCTTTTCCCTTCTTTAGGATTCTGGATGCTGAGAAGGGCGTGAGCTTTGCTTGCCTTTCTGCTATCAGATAGCAGCTCAGGAAAGGGCTTCGGCAAGAGGTGGTTGTCTGATTGCTCCCTCCTCGAGATGGAGATGGAACTGTCCGGGAGGTTTAGGGTTAGTCAGGTGGGGATTGAAGGCAGAAAGTTCTGGCCTCCTTGCCATTAGATCTTTGCTATATTAGCAAATGCATCAGCTGTGGTCTGGGTCTAGAGCAGCTTTTGCTGGCACAGTTTGTAGCAACTTCCAGAGTTCAGGAGCAGGGCTGGCAAGCCTGGGGAGGAGGAGGGTGGAGTGATTTAACTGTCTGGGGTGGGAGGGTGGAGGAGGGGGTTTTAATCCCTGTGAACACTGAAGTGTTTCTGACAAGGGGAACTGTGAGTTTGTCTTCCTGCTACCTGCTGCATTTTGGGTGGCTTCCCCAGAGCTTGCAGATGGTGGCTGAGAACGAGTATCTGACCCTGGAGTGACTTTCAGTGGGCAGGGCTTGCAGTCCGATGAGGGTGGATTTCTGTTTAAACCTTTGGGGTTTTGTAGTCTTCCTGAGTTAGTTCCTCTTTCTCAGCAGACTTGGAGCAGAAATTTAAGGGAGGAGCTGGGGAGACGTGAATCTTCTGCTGCTGAAGGGCCATGTTAGGTACTGCGGAAGTGTGGTTTGCTCATCCTGACCCTAATCATCATTGTCAGTCAGCACCTTTTGTGACAGCATCTCTTTTTCCCTGTTGGGTGTGCCAAATTCGGCTCAGGGAGCAGGGATGCCCCTTCTTCAGTTCTTATGATAGCACCACCATTAGCTGGAGGACAGGCAGAGGGTGGGGATGTGCCACTGTTTCAACTCTGCTGTGTGGTTTGAGGTTTAATGCAGCTTTGAGGGTGAAGACATGGAGCATATTTGGGCAGGGCTGGACCTTTTTCCCTACTCTTATGGGAATTGACATTCCAACCTTGTTGTCCAAGGGTTTCAAATTTATCTAAAGATTTCAGATCGTCAGCTTGAGATAAGGTAAATCAGGGACAGTGCTGAGCACTTCTGCAAAACCAGACTTCTTAAACTGGTTACTTTAGGGGTTGATGTACACAGCCTGTACCTCTTGTTTGCTCATCAGTAATGCTCTCCTACCTCCTGAAGTTTGCTTAAGTAACCTGTGAAGTTTGCATCCAGTCAGGCCGAAGGGTTGCAACAGACCACAGGATAAGCAGATTTTTTGTATTTGGTTTGATGGATTATTTTTCCCATTTTAAAGTAACCTCTCTTAGCATAGTGTCCATGTTTGTCCTTGCAGGTGGTGGTGCTCCTGGAAGTCCTGAGCTGGGGTCAGCTGGAAGATGACTGAGTACAAGCTGGTGGTGGTGGGAGCAGGTGGTGTTGGGAAGAGTGCTTTGACGATACAGCTCATTCAGAACCATTTTGTTGATGAGTATGACCCCACAATAGAGGTAAGTGGCTCTGGGCATGGGGTCAGTCTGTCTGCACATTTTTGTCTTCCTTTTCTCCACCTCAGCTCCAACCCAGAGCATGCTCAGTTTGGTCTCAAGTCTGAACTTGAGCAGGGATGTTCCTCTGCTTTGCAGAGCTATTCTGAGTCACTGTGTGTGTGTTCAGAGGTCGCAGTGACCGACTTAACATCTCCTGCAGAAGGATAGTGGTGTCTGCTGAAGAGAGGTGACATGGGAGGCAACAGAGACTGGCAGAGCAGGGCAGGGGCTGAGAGGCAGTACAAAAGTCTTCCTTTCTGATGAGATGACAAAATAGGGAGGGATTAAAGGTTTAGAATTGAAGAGCCATTTTGTGCCTGTGCTTCCATTTCTTCTCCCGTGAAATCAGAGTAAATGTATTGACTTTTTCTGCAGGATGTTTTGAGCTTTACTGATGAAATGGGTTTTATCAGAGCTTGGTTGTATTATGTATGTCTTGCAGTTTGAGCGAGACGTGCTGAACAGTTGAACTACTGTGGCTCCCAGAGTGCTGCCTCTGCTTCTTCACAACGAGTTAAAAGTGTGATGTGTGTGTCTCAGTCGGTGTGGATGGCAGCACTGACCTGTCTAGCTCAGCACCCTGCCTGAAGAAGCAGGCAGAGACCCTGTGGTTCTCACAGGCTGTGTGGGGGCAGATTGGGATCCAGTCTTCAATATCTGTTGTGCTATTATTATTTTCTTTAATTTTTCAAAAATATATTCCATTCTCTGTCTGCTTTCACCATAATTAGCCACATGCTGATTAGCCTCTGCATGACTGACACCTTTGTTGAGTGAGATGTAGGCAGGAGCCACTGCTCTGCACAAGGAGTAAAGTCCACCCTAAGAAGGCAAATTGCAGCTCTGTAATGCCTCTTGGACAATAACCTCCCTGTCTGCAGTCCTAAAGGATTCTTTACCAGATGCGTATAAATGCAGCTGTGGTTGCTGCAGTTATTATTATCATAATGGCTAAAGGCCCCAGCTGGGATGAGAAATCTATTCTGGTAGGTGTTGTCTTTGTAGTCCCCACCCTGAGGAGCTTACAACTTACATAAACAAGCAAGACAAGGCTTGGTAGAAAGGCAGAAATAGTCTTACAATCCTTCAGATGGGAAGGAGAGAGAGCACTTAAAAAGCACGTGCTATTACATCATTTGGCCAAGGTCACCTAGAAAGTCCATGGCAGAGACTGGAATTTAATTCAGGGCTCCTGAGTCTCCTTGCTTATGGATGCAATTGCCTTTGTCCCCAGCTCCTCTCCCCTTATGTGGCTGTCCTCAGTATTATTGTATACTTTTTGCAGAAACCCATTCAGGGTTGATTTTGGCAAAAGATCCTCTCATGGAGAGTAACCTCCCTGGGGAGACATCTGCATAGTCTCTCTTGGACCTTAGGTGGGCAGATGCAGCTCTTATCCAGTGATGTGTTGGGTTTTGGCATCCTGTGTTTTTTATCTCCAGATGCCTGCTCCCTGTACGTACCCTGCAGGGAATTTTCTCCATGTAAACAGGCAGCAGGGAATGTAAACCTTGCATGGCATTTCCCAGCACACCCTCCTCACCCTACCCACTTCTGCACTGCTCTGGGAGACGCTTGCTCTCTCCTCCACTGTTCACTCCAGCCCCATTCTGTTCTTCTCCTCTTCCAAAAGCTGCCACAAGCTGCTCTTCAGCCCTCTCACCGTTGGTACTTTTCCACCTGCGGGTACCACCAGCCCTGATGCCTTTGCAGTTCCCTTGGTTGTATCCTGCTTCTCCTGGTCCCCTGGCCAACTACTGATTCATTTCAGGGTGATTCCTTTTAATTATGCTTCGTTTTATGGGGATTTAAGAGACAGAGAGCTACCTGCTAGCCATCCAAATGTGACCAACAAACCACCTTCCTGTGACTAAGCTGCTTTGGATTGTGCCCAGGAGCTGACTATGACTGTTCAGCCAGCTAACAAGCAGCACAACAATGCTGAAATGAGCAGGATAAAAGTGGGGGAAAAAGAGGATACGTGCATGGAGCAAAGGCATTGCCCATCGCCCACATGGATTGAGCACAGACAAAGGGGGGTGCAAGCAGATTGGGGTGCACTGAGAAGATGCTCCCAGAGCAGGAGGTTTGGAGGTTTGTCCCCTGTCTGGAGCAGAGACCCAGACTGGGTGTCACCCTGACACCCTGTACCCTCCTGATTCACGTGTGCAAATGTTTGGCTGTGTAACTCAACACTGTCCACCCCACTACAGCACACTCTCACAGGCCAGCTCTTGCGCTGCCAAGGATCTTAGGACTTTTTTTTTGGGAACAGGAGGGCCAAGGCAGCAAGGAAAGGCATGCCACTGGCATTGTCCCATGGTGAATAAGCAGGGATGGAATAAAGAGTTTCACTGTGTTGAGAAATTCTTTGGTTCATCTTCCAGTTCTTAGCAGCTAGCTACTAATGGCTTCCCAAACCTCTGGTCATATTCTGACTGTAGTGCTTAGCAAATGGGCCTCTTGGCCTGGTCCCCCAGCACAGCTGGGATGCTCCCAACATCTGCCTGGGATCTTGAGTCTGAACCCCAAACATGTTTCTGCTGCCTGGCACTTCGCAGCTGGGTCTGGCTGCATTCCCCTCTGCTCATGGTGGGGTGGGACATGCAGGACTGCAGAGGAGCGCTGAGGCTGCAGGCTGCTGCTGTGGGCTGGTGGCAGCTAGCCCTGCAGTGGCAGCCATGTCACCTGGGTATGTGGCAGGGACAGCTGAGCTGACATCCTGAGCTTCCTGGGGAGCGGGAGGTCAAATGAAGCTGTACACAAAGTGTTGATGGGGAGAGCTTGTCCCATTCCTTTGCAAAGCATCCTCTGCAAGATTGTTTGACGTCTCTGCCTTGTGAGCCAGCTGGCCGGCCTTACGGGTAGCCTGTTGATGCCCTGAGCCGAAGTGTGGGATCTCTTCTCTGTCAGCATGCTGGGTGCTGGTGAAACATCCTGGAACTGTGGAGTTGGCAATTAATTGTGAACATGTGTGCTGAGAGGCTGGTCCTCTGTCCCAAGCCAAGGTGCAGAGGTGGGAGGATGCTTTGTGGGGCAGAGGAGGCACTCGAGTCCCCTTGCACAAAGGAGGTTCCAGATACATTATTGATTAGAAATGGGAGCACATTCCTGCAGGGCAGCCTGCCAGTTGCCTTCAGAGCAGTTGGCTGGAAGCCAGCCTTTCACTCCATGCTTATTCTCGATGGGTCAGCAGTCCACTTTTTGGGAAGGCACAGCTGAGAAGGTCGTGGCAGAGCAGATTTTATCTCTGATTTCACACTCCTCTCTGCAAGGTGAGGAAAGACTTTAATTAGCCCCAGCAAATGATGATGTTGTAATGAACCAAAGGATAGAGGCCGTGTTGGCCCCATTCCCTTTCTGTGCTGCTGCCAGTCCTGTTGGTGACCTTTGCTGTGTCGGCTGTTTGTCTGCAGACCTGCAAAGCTCATCTGATAACATTGTTGTGGTCGCAGCCGACATTTGAATAAATGTTAAACTGCAGCTGTAGCCTCTGTGAGTGGCTGCAAAGCACTGTGTGGTTGTACTGCTGACTTGTATCTTTTCCATACATTTCATTTTGTCTTCCTTCTCTTGCTGAGAGTTGAGGATGCTGCATTGTCCACAGGAGATGGGTGTTGGAGAGGGATGAGGGATGTCCTCTGTGCAGGGCTGCCCCAAAGCATCTCTGCTGATGAGACTGAGCACAGGGAGAAGCATAGTGGGGAGGGGCAGTGCTTTGAGGAGCCTGCTGTGAAAATGAAACCTTTTGAGGGATGCTCTGGGTGGTTTCCAGACCTTCTCACATCTATGATAAGTTGTGATTGCCTTTGCTGCAGGGAAAACCCCCAACTTCAAAGGACCTGCCTGGATAGTTCTTACCTCTCCTGTAGCCCTCTGGGCACAGACTGCTTGTGGGAAACACCCTGTTCACAGTGTGATTTGATTTTTTCTTTTCCCTCATGTTTAAAGAAGAGGTTTACCATCAAACCCAGTCTGAAACCTTACTGATGGCAACATTGCCTCTGGTGCCTGATTTGAGATGCATTGGAGGCACTGGATTTCCAGGTCATCTTAAGCGCCTTCCAGCCCCGCAGATCACAGATAGTGACTGGAAGCCCTGGCTGGTCAGAGCTCCTGAGTGTCCTTACTCTTCCAGCAGAAGGAATTAGAGCTGAGACTAAACAACGCTTAGGAAATACTTGTTCAAGACTATGCAACGTGGTAGAGATGAAGCTGCACCTGGTCTGCCAGAGGCAGGGCTGGAAATGGGGAGGGCAAGCTGGGAGCTGTCTTCTCTGTGGTTCTGACAGACAAGGAGAAACCTGCTTAGCTGCTCCCTTTTTCCTTTGTTTTTTTTTTATTATTTTTCCTTTCCCTCCCATGTTTGAAACAGATTGAGTCGTCTCTTTAATGGAAGCTGAACACATGCAGAGCATGACCTGGCATCTTCCCAGGGATGCACTCCCTGCATCCTTTTGTTTAGCCAGATCCAAGCCCTCCCTAAATGCATCCTCCTTCCTTTCCCTCTCCTGTCCTGCAGGATTCCTACAGAAAGCAAGTAGTCATCGATGGAGAGACCTGTTTGTTAGACATCTTGGACACTGCAGGGCAGGAGGAGTACAGTGCCATGAGAGACCAGTACATGAGAACGGGGGAAGGATTCCTGTGTGTCTTTGCCATCAACAACACCAAGTCCTTTGAAGATATTCACCAGTACAGGTCAGTATCCTGGGAAGGGCCCTTTCCTCTTGCCCTGTGCAGAGAGGCCTTGCTGCTGCACTCTCCTACCCACCCTTTTAGATCAGGCCCCATGCTGGAAGCACAGACTGCCAGCAAAGACAATTAGCTCAAGTGGCCATTCCCCAGGGAAAAGACAGAGCAGACGGCTAATGTCAGTGACTCCAATAAAGCCCTTCCGAAGGGATTGCTTGTGGCCTTTGGGGACCTGGTAATGTAATGTTTAAGTGTTTATGGTGACTAAAGAGAGAGCTGATCCTGTATGACCCCCCTCCCTTCCCTCCCTAATTAGTGGAATTGCTTTGTTAGCGCAATCGATCTCAGTGACTTCTGCTGGCCCTAGAGCTGGGAGAGGAGGCTGGGAAGGACAGGGAAAGCTGCTTGCCCTGGTGTCCACTGTCACGACCAGGCTGTGGTCTGCCAGCTGCACACACGTGTGGAGAGACAGTCTTGCCCCACTGGAGCTTGGTTTCAACCAGGGCAAAGATGGAGCAGAATGGGAGTCAGGGCTCCAATGAGGTGTTTTGCCCAAGAAGATGTCTGGGGAAGTGGTGACAAAGCAGGGACCCTGCCCCAGTACCCATCCCAATTCTCCTCTCTGTTGATGTCACCCCTGAAGAGCTGAAGAGTCAAGAGGATGATGTAAATACAGCAGGAATCTTCCATGTTTACCCTGGTGCTACCTTAGGGAGGGATCGTTCTGCTTGTGCTTTTTCCTATGGCTTGGCTGCGATGGGAAGTACTTGCAGAGGATGCAGGAAACAGCTCTGCCTGTCCCTGCTCTGTCCCACAAGGGACTATGTATCCCAGTCCCTCATCATAAACCAGAGCCCCAGTAATCCTGTTGTTCTGAGGACAGGCACATCCCTTCCTTGCTCTACCATCAGAGGTGCTGCTTGGAGCTGCTGAGATGTTTTAGTTTCATCCAAAAGGCTGCTCAGTGTAACAGCTGCACAGGTGCACTAATTTGGCTTCTTTTAGCTGAACCAAAGGACGGGATTTTCCTAAAGCACCTGAGGGATTGAGCAGTGTTCATCCTTGTGCTGGGGCTGGTGCCTGTGCATTGCTGGTAGGATGGCTCGATTTCAAGCCATCATGATGTAAATCACTGGCTTTCATCTCCTTTAGCCTGTGCTCTTTGTGTTTGCACTTTTAAAAGAATATTCCCCAGAGAAATGCTGGCTCTCCCTGGTTAGTAACCATTTGGAGGTATCTCTTTTCAGCTAAGTGTAGCCTATGCACTAAATTTAGTACTTGCATTTGCTGGTCAGGATGTTACACAGAACATTTAAATGGCTTTATGGCATATCATGCATATAGTCAGACTTCATTTCTATGTTCTACTACATTAGAAAAAGATGATTGATTCTTTTGTATGATAAATGTCCAGCTGCCTTTGGATGGAGATTTGCATTCAATTAAAATGCAGAAATTGGCATTTGAAATCTCATTTGTTAAATTAAAATCATGTTAAATGTTCTGGACCTACGAGCAAAAAAAAAGTTGTTTTGCAAATGATTTATTAAGCAAAGGAAGTTATTATCTATCAGAAGGGAATTGAATGAATTGTTTGTGGTCATAATGGCCTTCAAGATTTTTAGAAGTGGTAGATCTCATCCTCGCCCACCTAGTTTTAGATCCAATGTTGGAATGAAGAAGTGAGCATTTCAGCTTTTTTAGTTCCCAGTTGGTTTCTCAACTTTGAGTGACCTGAACTAAACTGAAAGGGAGCAAATACTGCCTGTGCATCTGCAGAAAAGGCTACTGCTGCCAAAAGCTGCTTTATCAGCTCAGCAAATTCTGGTTGCAGGTGATTTTTTATTCTTTTCTCCTCACTTGGTGCAATTACTTAATCTAAAATGTTGGAAATAGCACAGGTAACTGCTTGAGAATTCATCTTTATTTAACTTAAACTATCTTAAGCTCATGTCTTAATATAGATTGTCATAATTCAAGTTGTTTTGTAAATAGCTGCATTGAAAGCAGAAGTATGTTTAGTTTTCATTTCCAGAAGTTCCCTGTTTTGCTGTTTACTCACTTGTGTGCCATAGTCATTTACATTTTTCTGAAAGCTCAACACAAGGCACTCAACAGGAGCGATGGGTAGTTGTTAAATCTCAACAAAGAAACCAGTGGGGAGTGTTCCAGAGCTGCCTCTTCACTTCTTCACACCTCCTCTTGCAGGGAGCAGATCAAGAGGGTGAAAGACTCAGATGATGTTCCCATGGTGCTGGTGGGGAATAAATGTGACCTCCCTGCACGGACAGTGGAGACCCGGCAAGCACAGGACCTGGCCCGGAGTTACGGGATCCCCTACATAGAAACGTCTGCCAAAACCAGACAGGTAGGAGGAGACTTTTAAACAAAATGCTTTTTCTTTTCTTTCCTCCATTGCTGCCCTGGAGGGGCAGGAACGGGCAGGCACCGCCTTGCAGACAGATTGGTGTTAGGGATGGGCTTAGTTGCTTCCTCAGGGCTAAATGCTCTCTCAGGATGTTCCCTTCCCAGTCCAGGCTTGAGCCTCCCATCACGAGAAGTGCATCATCATGCTGTGGCAGCAGTGAAGACAAGATGCCTTCTCAGGGCATTCTCCAAGGCTCTGGAATAACCTCCATAGTCGCTGCAGGTCAGCTAAGCTCAGGTCACTTGGCTAACCTCATCCATGGTCTATTTGGGCAGACCTACAGGCAGAATATACCACTGCTGATGAAAGGACCATGTCAAGCTTCCAGAGCACAGAGGTGGAAATGGAACTGATACCTTCAGTGGTCTAGTGGTGGCTTTTCTCTTGGGTGGTAGACCTCATTCAGACTGCTGAGAGCTGCTGAATCTCTGAGACTTCAGAGCTTCTTTATCCTCATGATTGCTCATTCAATCTTGCTCTCCGTTTGACAGCCACACTCAGGTCCTTGTTAGTCCTCCCAGCTTGGTTCTGTACCTTTAACTCTGCAATCGGCACTGCTGGACAGTGCTAGGGACACCTTGCTGGGGAGCAGAGCCCTCTCCTCTCTCCACTGTCCCTTGTCAGAGTGGGCAACTGCTTCAAGCCGTGCTTTCTCCCCAGGGCGTTGAGGATGCCTTCTACACCTTGGTGCGGGAGATCCGGCAGCATAAGCTGCGCAAGCTGAATCCCCCAGATGAGAGCGGCCCTGGCTGCATGAACTGTAAATGTGTGGTATCGTGACTATGGTAAGTGGTGGAAGCAGGACCTGGGGTGCAGTGGGGGAGCATTGGAAGCAGGGCAGGAGGTGACTGCAGATGCACTAGCCTGGAAACAAATGCAGCAGGATCAATTTCAGCAGCAGGTATTTTTTAATGAAACACCTTTCAGACTGAAATAGCATTTTTCTGTCAAAACATAGGTAAGCCAAAATTCCCACTTTCCTGAGGAAGTGTGTGGCAGGAAAGTTTATTTTTCCCCCTCATTTTGTGCAACAAAATTCTATGCAATTGAATTTTTTTAAAAAGCAAGTTTTGTCGTGCCTTCCCCAGGAAAGCTTCTTCCCATGCTGCTGCTTTGAAAGAGGAATTAAGCTGGTGTTGAAGGTGTACAGATCACTGCATGCTCACCAGACTGGCTCTAGAAGGGTTCAGATGAAGAGCTGGCTGGGTGCATTGCCTTGTAATGCACTTATATAAATTGCCTCATCCTAAAGCTTTAGAGTAAACCTGTCTTGCTGTGAAAAGTCCTGTGTTCCTCAGAAGAGTTTTCCCCATTAGATAAATCCCCTGGGATATTTGGAACTGATGCAGTGTTGAGAATTAGCCATAAGGGGGCTGTTTGCTTTTATAAATTGTGCGTGCTGGAGCCAGAAACAGTGTTTTTCAGATTATTTATGTTCACTTGACTGTTTTTCTTCTTTTCTTTCCTCAATTTTTTTTTTAATTATGAGTTTATTTAAAACACTGCTGGATAGGAATCAGGGAGAGTTCCTATTATTGTCCCTGCATGTGCTGGCTGGCATTAAGTGAATGGCCTGGGAATATCTGTGTAACCAACTCCTTCCATGGCAGAAATTTAGAGAGGGGTAACTGGGAATGAGTCCACCAAGGAGATCTGTATCTAAGGACATCTGGGATTGGGACAAAAGCATGCATGAACATTGCCTTTAATGTGTTTTGGGGAGTCTCCCAAGCACCTGGACTAGTCCTTCACCCCTTTAAATAACTGCTGGAGTCCTAAAGAGAAGTGCACTGTATCAAGAGATGGTGTTAAGAGGGTCTTGTGAAGGTGGAGATGGACAGCAGGTTTTCTCTGATGCCTTTTGAGCTAGAGGCCATGAGCACAACAGAGCTCTTCCTCCTGCCCCCCACTCCCAAGAAAAAAACCCAACAAAACAGTGCTGGCAACATTTGCTTCCTATGAGCAAACACCCACCCCAGAACCCCACCCCTCCGCTCCTAGCTAAGGCGTGTGAGGTCGGCTGGGGGCCGAGCTGAATGCTGTGCCCAGCACACTTATCACTGCTAAGGGAGATTTTCCAGATGTTTGTGTCCTCCAGATGTTCAGGAGCATTTCCTCCGGATGGGGATATGAGCTAAAGGCTTGTTTCCTGCTCTGGCTCACAGCTGACGGCATGGGCTTGGCATGCACTGCTGCTCCCTTACATCAACTGCCAGGAGCCCAATCCTTGTCACAGTCCAGGGGCAGCACCAGCTTGGGCAAGAAGGGCTGGGAAAGGGTCACTTGGAAACATTCCTCTCTGTTAAGAGAACATGCCCTGTGAGTTGCCTATGTCTTTCTCTGCTCAGGCAGAAACTGGAAGCCAGACATCCCAGCTTAATCTAGCTGCAATGCAAGAGCAGAGAGGGAGGAACATCAAAGCAAAAAAGGAGAAGTGAGGCAAAGACATGCTAGGATTTGGGGAGAAGAAGGGTGGGTGTGTGGCCAACAAAATTTGGCTGCATTTGCCTTGGACTCATTTTATAATTTCCATCATCCCTGGAGGAGGTGGAAAGATCTTGCCAAACAGTGCCCCTTCCCACAAGGAGGTTCAGAAATAGGCAGAAGGTCTGGTGAAGTGTCCAAAGCTCCCCCATCACTCCAATGACTCGAAGACTTGTTCCTTTCAGCAGATGTGCAGATGCTTTGCTGAGCCAGGCCCACATTAAGACCTGTGTAGCCTTTTTGCTTTTGCTCTGTGGGCACTAGCAGGGTCATCCCAAAACGTGAGGGGTGAGCAGGGAACAGCCCTGCTTGTTCTGATGGGAAGTGGGTACTCATGAGTGTCCTCTTCTGTTTCAGCTGTCTGGACCGTGTCTTGGCGAGGTTCCCACCGTGCAGTGCTCAAGGAAAAAGGTGAAGCAAAGGAAGAAGCAAATGGATTCAGAGGAGTATGGGGGGGAGAGGAGGAGGAGGAGGAAGAGGACAGGGGGAGCATGACTCCAAGGACTATCTCGCACTTCACCCAAGCCTGCGGCAAACAACTTCTTTTTTTTTTATCCCCATCCCCTCATCCTTTGGCTCCTCCCACCCCGGCAACTGTACAAAGCCACAGATTGAATCACAGTAAATTATTATTTGATCGTCTCAACAAATCACCTTGATGGCTGTGTCCTCCTTCCAGAGGCTGCTGCTCCTGCTGCTGCTCCGGAAGGATTGCTGGTGGGATGGCGGGGAGGAAAGGGTGCTGAGATTTGCTCTCCACAGACCAAGTTCATGCTGTAGATTATGGAGGTGATTGGGGTGGGAGAGACAAGCTCTCAGGGCAGGACAGCTTGTCTCTGTCTCCAGCAAGTCTTTGTCATGTCCTCCCCAGCCCACCTGAAACTCTGCTGGCCCCAAGTTTTGGGAGGGTGGAAGAGTGCAACCAGTCCAAGCCCATCCTTGGCACCCCTTGAGTGCTTTGCTTTCAGCCTAGTCCTTGTGGGATTTATAGCCTCAGATGCAATGCCAGGAAGGGAAGAAGCATCAGGGAAGAGATTTGAGAGTTGGGTTCACCTCAGCTGGTACCAGTTTGTTGCTTCCCTGATTCCTTTCCCGTCAGCTCTTTCTGGCACAAGACCTCCATCATCTCTTGTGTTCTAGAGGTAGAATTAAGACTTTCTGGTCCCCTCCAGCCTCTGTGCTCCTGTCTATGCTAACACCAGTATAGCATGTACACCTTGGGCTGCTCCAGTATGTACAGGTAAGCAAATCCTTGTCTGCCCTGTGCATGGCTTCCTTACTGCATGTTGTGAACAGCTCTCCTGCACTGCAGAAGCTGTCTGGCTGCTCAGCAACTAAGACTAAAGGATTCAGGCTTCCAGCCTCTAGGTTTAGAGTGGGTAAGAATATTTTGGGTAAGGGATAATCTGTTGGGAACCCTGTCTTTGCTCAGCTCTGTTCCTTTGGGGTTTTTGCCTGAGGTCTGACCTATGCGCCTTTCACTTGCAGCCTCAAGACAAGGCATTGCACTCAGTGCAGCGGGTGGCTTGGCACTCACTGTCTTTCCCTCTTCCAAGCTATTTCACTGGCTAATTTAACTGGCATCCAGAATTAGAAGCATCAAAGGGGGAAGGCGATCTAGCTGAGTGCGGCAGGGAGCTGTTCTGCATGGGCTAGCCCAGGCCTGAAGAGGTGCTGGGTTTGGCAGCCAAGGTTGGTCTGGGTTGGGAGTGGCGAGGGCGGCGTGTGAGTCACATGCCTCACACGGCAAAACCAGTACAGAAACCCTGGTCACCCCCAGCACAAAACCACAGCCCACCCAGGGCTTCCCAGCATCCATGTGAGCAACTTCCCATCCCACTCCCCACCTTCTGTCATGCCAGGCAGCAGCAGAATTAAAGCAACAGAATTCAACTCCATGCTTCCTGGGGATGCTGCCTTTGCTTTTGGCCTGGGCAAGAGAGGACTTGTGTTAATGGCTTGCTTTCTGTAAATGCTTGCTCTGAACTACTGTAGGGCACAGTCCTCACCCTGGCTGCAGCTGCCTGGCATCGTGTTCGCACAGAAGAAGGGCTGATACCAGCTGGAGTGGGAGAAGTTGCCCAAGGGGAGAGTGCCCTGCCTTTAGCTGGGTGTGCTGTTTGCACCAGCATCTGTCCCTGTGCTGGAGGATTGCTGAAAATGCTGAACCTGGTGTTACATGGTGGGACTGGACCAGAGACTCACAGAAAACCTCCCACTCTTGAGTTGTTTCTAATGCGAAGTCTGGGGTTTGTTCCTAAAGTTGGCATCTTGTGCACAACTGGCCACAGGACAGGGGTACTTTGTCCTTATAAAAGATGACATGGGGACCCTTGCTTGGTAGTGTTACCACTGCACTAGGAACCTGGTGCTCTTCATCTGCAATAGAACTTATCCCATTCTTCCCCAGGCCCTTGGAGAAGGATGGGATAGATCTAAATGGAGGCCTTCAGAGAAGTAACACTCTGGTGCTCTCTCAAAGACCAGATGGCTCTAACCACTGAGAGACTCCTCTCATTTCTGGCTGGGAGCCAAATGCCATTGTCAAGTACTGGGAGCTGAGGTCAAGGAAGTGGAGGAGCTCCAGGGAGCGTCAGGGCCAAGTTGTCTTCACAGGGTCAGCAATAGCTGCAGTTCCAAGAAACTGGCACATCTTGGTTGGGGGTGTGCTAGAACAGCACTGGCCAAACTACTTCCAAGAGTTTGTTAAGGAGCAGAAAGCTGAAGTAGGAGCACCTCTTCTTTTCAGAGAGGTTTCTGCATTCAGGGTAAGGTTTTCAAGCTTGTCAAACAGTCCTGGTAAGTGACAGACCACCACAGGCTCTGGGTAGCTTTTTGTTGTAATTAGGTCACAAGAAATCCAGACTTGGGTCATTGTTCAAGTCCATGCTAAAAATTGGAGGTAGGTTAGGAGCAAAAGGAGGTGCTAAAAGCTTGACCCCACAGCTCTTCTTCAAGAAAATGTATTAATTGTGTATTAATGCATCTTTGTTCCAGGAGGAAAATCACGACAGCTCATACATCAGCTGTGATCTGGTCTATCTTGCTGGTGGCAAAAACCAGATTGTATCACTCTCAGGTGGAGTTGTTACTCTTGACTTGGCTTTTTCTTGGTACTTATGATTTGTGGACAGTACATCATGTTTCTGGCCTCTGACAGGCAGGAGGTCAGTACATGAGCTCACGATGTGTTCTCTGCTAGCTGAACTTCTTGAGTCTGAAAGTAATACCAGGATTACAGTCTCACTGGAGTGAATGTAGATTTGGAGAAGAAATTGAGGGGTTTGGAGTTGATTTTCCCCATGGTTATTCAAGGCACATTTGTTAAGTACCTGGACTGGAAGATGGAGTTTTCAGACACTGCAGTTGTTTCCCTTATGATAAGGAGTTTGCTGTGTACCTCAGTTGTGCTTCAGAGCCACGAGCTCAGGTGAGCAGAATGTACAGTTATTTTGATTATTCCTATTGCATAGCTGAAGCTGGAAAAGGGTCCACAGAGGTAAGCTTTTTGCTGTATTTTAGTACATCAGCTCATCTCTGGCTGTTGTGATCTTTTCAGCTGGCCATGGCAAAGCTGAACTAAACTTGTGCTGTGTTGTGGTTCTCCAGCCAGTGTGAAAAACAGCTCTGAGAAGGCTTCAGTCAGCATCCTGCTGATTATGTTGGGACTGCGTATCCTGTGATGGAGGAGTGCCACCTTTGAACCCATACTTAAATGACAGAATAGCTGATGAGGTCTGTTCTAGTCTGGTCAGGTCCAGATGTCTCAGGACAGACATCCAATACATGTTCTCTTGCACCATTCAAGTGCCCCACACCTTGTTACAGAGGGGATGGGGCTCTAGAGACATGACAGCTAAATCAACTGCCAGAATTGCTTACAAATCCTTAAAGATGCTGATCAAGTGCTGGAACAGATCTCATGCCTTTTAGTCTGTGAGGGCTTCCACAGGAGCATTCTCCTAAGCCAGCAGAGAGGGCGACTCCAAAGCAGGTGAGAGCATGGTGCTTGCTGAGGGCTTTGGCAAAGACCTGGGTTGTGCAGGAGCTGGCAGCAATGACTCAGTAGTGGAGTGAGAACTGAGATGTGAGGGGTGGTGAGGGGGGGAGCTGGATGAAAGGCTGAGTTTTACAGAGCAAGCTTGGCTAAATGCTGGCCTCATACTCCTCACATGTAGTGTGGTTGGGTAGAGGAGCAGACCAGATTCTGGACTACAGCCACTGTTGCAAACCTTTCCAACCTAAGCAGTTACTTCTGTATCACTTCTTGCCTTCACCATAAAGGTAAGCAAAGCCACTCAGCTTCACCAAGCCTGAGGTTATCTAAGTCTGTAGGCTTAGATGTTCCAGGAGCAGGGCTCTGATGTGAGGCCAGGCTTAGTGGCCTCCAGGGCACCAGAGTGGCCCAGGCTCTTAATGGGATGGTTGGAAGAAGGGCTTGTGATACTGCATTCCATTTAGCCACAGGTACCTTTAAGGGAGCTCATACCAGTTTTGGACAAAAGTGGAAGTTTCTTAGTTTACGTTTCTCTGTGTCTTAGGAGGAACCCATTTTACTGTATGGAAGAATAATAGCCAGGCGTTAGTGACTCAAATCCCTTGGACTCATGTCTTTGTGTGTGTCTTTTAAGCCTTCTCCATCCACATCTTGGGCTCTTTTGTAGCTGCTGCCAGTAAGTAAGGATGCTTATGGGATGGGCTCACCTGCTGCATCTCTTAGTGAGATGTTTCAGCTGTGGTTTGGTTGTCTCCTGCACTGTCCTGGTACCCACATCCTTCTAGGTGAAGAGGATGCTGGTGTGTGCCCTGTGGGCCTCCTCAGCTGCTGAGGTGGTAGGATTTGGGGGATGGTTTGGGAAGTGGTTCAGACCTGCCTCTTTAAATTGCCAGGCTGTCATTTTCTCCATATGCTGCTTTATATTTGGGGATGTGCTGTAGGAAGGAGGTGATATTGCTCAGAGGTTGGTGCGACAGCCACCATCCTGGCCACCAGCAACTGGTGGAAAGGGGAAGAGGCACATGGGACTGGCCCCATGTGCAACTCCTTTGCTTTTGCTATGGGTTGAGTACAGGGTCTGTAGCATAGGAGAGCCAAGGTACCAGCCCTAGCAAGGGCTGCTGGGATTGGGGGTGCCCTTGCTCTGCTCCCAGCCCCCCTCCACCACTGCCAGGGCCCCTCTGCAACACACGAGGAGCATGAGAGCAGCACCACCATGGCAGTAGGACACAGCAGCAGGTGAGCAGCACAGCGAGCCCAAGAGGAGGAACACCCCCAGGCCCAGCCAAACTCTGCCTGCCTCTGCCAAACTGGCTGGGGCACAAAGCTGCCAGACACAGCACACCCATCTCTCTCCCCCTGCTATATCCTGGGAGCAGAGCCTAAACCAGCACAAAGCCTTGCTCCCTCCCTCAGTTTGGCTCTGCTCCAGTCTCCACTTAGCATCAATTATTCAGTGCCGACTGGCTGAAGCCTTGCGGTGGCACGCAGGGGTTGATGAGCTTTCCGTGTTGTGGGAGGTGGGCTGGGATGGTGACGAGCACAGCCGGGGCTTGGCAGAGCCAGTGAGGACAGATGTGGTCTGCTGTCTGTCCCACCTCCTGGTGCTGCTAGTTTGGCTGTTCCTGAGCCAGGAAGGACAGGAGCCACAGG